TTTAGTTCTTTCTATAACGTTTGACTACGTTATACTATCACACTTTAGGGGATGTAAGAGAGTAATGCGCGTGCGTGTAGGGGTCTTAGGCCGTTGGTGGAACCCAGAAGACTGCAGGGAGGAACTTCCTTTGCGCTTCTTCATTCGCCTGGTTGATGCAGAACAGTTGGACGTTCGCAACCCCATTTCATTTTTCCCGGTCACGGTGGCTAAGTGGGTAAGACGCTGGCTCGCTAGCCTGGAGGTCGGGCGTTCGATTCCTGCATTGGCCGAGAAAGTTCATCCAGATTTCCGGCTTCGTATCCCCTTGTCAGTGATGCAGCACGAAGGGCCTGACAAGGACAACTGTCTAGTCGTTTGGATGGGACAAAAAAACGAGGTCCCGTGTACACATTGGCGTGCACGTATAGATCCCTTGACAGTTGAAATTCGATATAAGAGTAGGCCGTAGCGCATAGCACACTGTATGCCCAGTTCGGAGCAAAACAGTAGGACGTTAAACCACATTTCATTTCATTTCATTTCGATTGCACGCGCGTGTATATAAGGGAAGTAACCCTTATATTTCATTAGGATGCAGACCACCATTAATTTCACCACCATTGACTAAATGATAATTTTGGCCTCTTTGCCCTGATCCAACTTTTTCCAAAATTTTCGTTGGGCTCAACGCTTTCCACCAAAGTCTGTATGAGGGTTGGCGACTGACATTTATAGATACATAACAAACTTGAAGTAGCGTACTATACACGTGTAATTGTCGGTCGTACATATCACCTATCACCTCCCACCGCCAAAACATGAATATTTACTGACTACGGATGACACCGTTATGGATTGTGAATGGCACCGTTACTGATTATGGATGACACTGTTACTGATTATGGATTACACTGTTACTGATTATTAATAGTATCGGTACAGATTATAAATGCCATCGTTACTAATCATGGATGGCACCGTTTAAGATTATGGATTAATCATTATGGATTATGCACCGTTACTAATTATGGATGGCACCGTTACAAATTATTGATTGCACCATTTAAGAATGCACCGTGACAGTTTATGAATGGATGGTATTACAGATTATGGATAGCACGGTTACTGTTTATTGATGGCGTTGTTACAGATTGTGTATGGCACCATTACTGTTTATGGATGGCACCGTTGCTGATTATGGACGACATCGCTAGAGATTATAGATTATATTATGATTATATTGCATTTTGTCATATCTTTGTAAATACTGAACGGGATTTTGGACTATTAGTTCTTTTAGAGATTCAACTCTCCCCATATCGTGATTCAAAATCATCAAAATAGCGATCAGCGGTTTAAAGGTATTGTTGATGAAATAAAGGAATGTATTTCAAAGAGGTTGGACAATTTAAACTTTACAGTTTAAGATTGAGCCAAACAATATTACTGTGTTATAATTGGGTATTATAAAGTTGCTTCGTCAGTAAGAATCTAGATCATAAATGTATTCCTAATTAAGTATTATAAAGCTGTTTCGTCAATAAGAGGCAAGATCATAAATGTTTAACGAGACCATTGTAAACAGAACAGTACCAATTGTAATTAACTTTTTAATTATCTCCGAAAATAGTGTTTGTCTGAAATCATTATATCTTGTTTAGAATATATATTAATTAGTAACAAACAAAATGTAAACAAAGGGTTGCATTAAAGTGCGTGTGGCTCTATTTTTTTCTTTTTTTTATGAACTTTGAAATAGACGAAAATGATTCTAAAAGTACATGTTAATGTAATATGAACGTTGTAAAATGATTTGTATTCAATTTCTAATCAATTATGTTCGGTGAAATACGTGAACAGTTCAAATTAAACGACAATTGTTTCCGCTCGCTAAATCCATTTTACACCCTTTTTTATTATTATTATGTCGTTTGTGAATCAGACTTTACTAATTACTTTCACATTGTCTTTTAGGGTATGTTTTTCGGTGCTCATTACAAAATGGCACCCAAAACCATAGAATACACGACTCGTGTACTGATTATAAAATGTTAATTGTGTCTTAAATATTGGATATTAGGATTATATAGTTTCACGGCAAGATAAGAACATCAGGATGGGGTTAAAGGTTAACTCGACACAAACTAGGTCATTTAAGGACTAACACATGGTTTAATTTTGTTATTTCAGTAATTCGCTTGCTCGAAGGGGTCTTTAGCAGTAGGTGGAAATCGGGGGACCCGCGGAGAAAACCCATGAGGCTGAACAGGCGACCCTTCTACTTGTCACGTGCGAGCCGGGAATCGAAACCACTCCACTTGCCCCAATGACAGACCGCCTGATCCGATGCGCACGCATTAACTATTCGCCACCCCGCCCCTTCAGGTTAGCGACCCAGCGCCTTACGCACTGAGCTACCGGGTTCGACACCTGTATATGGGTCAATGTCATTGTGAACTGTTCTTTAAAGCTTTAAGTCTTATTAAAACTTTATAATTTTATTGTCTTTATAGAAGAAAATTAATCTGATATAATCCTTCATTGCTTAACCTGATTATAGTATTATGTATGGTCACAGTGTTAACGTGATATATACAGACGAAAAAACTCGACTAAAAATGGTCTTAGACGTGGATAATCCTAATAACCGAATTCTTGACACGTTGGCTATTTTAGTGTTTTCTTTTACGTCGCGTATTTATATCAATAATAGAAGACTTTACTTTCAACGTCTGCATTCGCCTAAGTAGCATACTGATTTCTCCCTGAAGGGAAGAGGGTGGCCGAATGGTTTAACGCATGCGCTTGGATGACAAGGTATGTCATGGAGTCAAGTGGCGTGGTTTCGATTCCCCGCCTGCACGTGGCAAGGATTCGGGTTTTCTCCGGGTACTCCGGTTTCCTCCCACTATTAAACTGCTAAAGATCTTAACGCGCAAACGAATTGTCGAAAGGAAAATTGAAACATATGTGTCGAGAGGACGTTACCCCCCACCCCCTCTCTCTCTCTTTCAAGCGGAGGAGTAAGGTGGACTTAGGAAACGTTATAGGTAAATTATCGAGTATTATGAATTGAACGAATCTAATAAAGGTGTTTCGCGACAAGGTTAATCTTATTATCACGATCAGTAACAACACAATGTTAGTCAATAATGAATACATCACGTGTACCCAATATCCTGAATCTTATTAAAACGACAACATAATGTTTATCAATAAAGAACACATCACGTTTACCCATACAAAATACAATATCCTGGTTGATATATAACCGCTGACCTGAATTTAAAGACGCTGAACCTTTAACTCAATCTATTTGAAATTAAAAACACGAATAAGAATTCAATATCTTGTCGTGCAAATATGAGATCCTAATATCAACTATTTCAGACAGAATCGACCGAACATAATTGATTAGAAATTACAATATTATTATTGTTTTCAAAAATTGAATATCCATCCCTTTATTCTTAGTTCCCGCTATCATGATTCGTACAATGATTGAAATCGTGGTTTAAATCGTGGAATAAGCGTGGTGATCCTGTCACGGCTTATCATAATATATTGTGGTCAGTCGTAGAAATCGTATTCATCGTATCGAAACGTATCCGAACGTATCTGTACGTACCAAAGAATAGAGTCATATGCCCTTTAACGTCCATTTAACACAAACTTGGTTTTTATCGGAACTAAACATATAGTACATCTTAATTTCAACAATTCGCTTACGTGTCTCTTGCTGTGGAACGAAAACCGAAAGACTCATAGAAAACCAACAAGACTAGACAGGCTTGAGATCTAAACCACTTGACTTATTGACAAACCTAATGAACCATAGCGCACGCGTTAGACAACTCGCCGCCTCCCCCTTTTTAAAGGAGCTAAATCGCTAATATTTGGAACCTAGAAAATTGACAGAAATGGGTCACAACGCATATAATAATGTAATATGAATGTATATAAATTATAATATAAATTGATTTACATTCAATCGGTTCCGTTTTTACTCTAATTTCAAATCAGTTATGTTCGGCGAGAAGTCAGTCTCAGTCGAATGGCAATCTCTAGCGTCTAGTTATTCCAGTCTACATTGGTAGTATTTATTGCACATGCTCTCCGGATAAGAATATGACGTCACCGTTTGACATGACTTGTAGAATGTGTATAACCTCATTCTTAGAGCCCCTGGTTACAAATGGCGCTGAAACGCATACACAATACACAATTCATGTACCAATGGTAAAATGGTTATTTTGTCTTAAATATTCGATATAAAGCAGACCATCTTTTCCCCATCAATGTTGTTATAAATTGACAAATAATTCCAAAGACTGTGGATGATGTTGAGTTAAAGACTTAACTACTTTAACAAGAGTCTCCAACAAATAAATGTATAGGCCCTATCAATGTTTTGAGCTTCATCTTTATATTAAATCAAAATAATATCAAATAGGCATGGCCTAAAACATCTTTTGTTGTTGGAAATCAAGACAAAACTACAATAACACGCAAAAGTGACCTCCCTTGTCGACGGATTTACGAAATCCGCAATACTGATCAATATGCTAAAAATATAATTTCAACTAACCCTAAGTTACGAATTTGCAATTCGCTACTAGAAATCGATATTAAACCGTCAGTGATCAATATTTTACAAACTTCACTGAATAACATAACAGAAAATATCAGACAGAGCGAGCGAGAGAGAGAGAGAGAGAGAGAGAGAGAGAGAGAGAGAGTTTAACGTCCACTCGACACAAATCAGGTCATTTCGGGACTAACACATGGTTCAATTTTATTTCAATAATTCGCTTGCGCGTAGGGGTCTATAGCAGTGGGTGAAAACCGGAAGACACGGAGGAAACCCACGATTTTGCACCGCACAACTGGGGAATCGAAACCACGCCAATTGACTCAATGACAAACCTTATGATACAGCGCGCACGTGCTAATCATTCGGCCATCCAACCCCTAAAGAAAATATAGAAAATATATAATAAATAAATAAATGAACTCACGACAGGAAGATGATAAATAAAGTTCCTCAGTTCTCAGAGTTTCTCAACTTGTTGTATAACATATGTGCCTTTAGATGCCGTATTGCCATCAGTGACGTCATAACAACGTTAAGGATATTATGTCCTTATCTGTGTACAGTACTTCCCGGTTTAAAACCACAATCTTTATCCACTTATCACAACTTTTAAATACTGCTTAGATAATTTGTGACATTTTAACATACATATTCCTGGTTTATCGTCTTAATATGAGGATAAAGGCTATCATGCATCATATATTAATAAAAGGGAAGAAATGTCGCGAAAACTTTAACCTCGTTCATATCATACGTGTTGTAAAAATCACATCAGAACGCCTTATTTGTGTGCATAACGTCACCAATTCATGTGTAGTAACAGGTGTCGGTATTAATTAATACAAACAGGTACAAATTAAGCAGTCCATATGAATATAAAGTTACCACGATAAAAGATCTCTGACCCTGTTTTATAAAAACACTTATTTATAACTGTCCTGTATACTGCCATACCATGAGACAGCGTTTTGACATGCTCTGTTTGGCGCTATCTCTCTTTGTTGGCCATATTGTAAGGGGTTTGAAGTAAATATTCAATTATATAACCGGTATATAGGACATGTCATGGGCTCGAAATTCACATTCAATATATGTCAGTATACAGGAAAAGAAGTAAGTTTTAAAATCCTGCGCACCCACTGGATTTTTGAAGAAGGACATACATACGCCATGCAGTGTGCCATTAGAGGAGTGGGCTGTTTCCTGATAGTGACTGCTTTTATTTCGATTCTTGCAACTGCCGAGGGATCTTTAACCAGGTTGAAGCGCCTAAAAATATATATCTTACCACATCCTGTTTCTCTAAATAAAACATTCCTTTAAAATTAATCATTCATTATTGAAGAATATCTCAGATACCACATATTAAATATCATCTAGTCTCACTCATATACACTTATTCTACTCACTACCTTTGCTTTTTCTTTTCTAGAGTATGGCTAATGGTTATAGTCATTCAAATATACAGTTTGTTACTATTCAAGTCTGTATAACAAGTATTTCAATAGGCCGGGCTTCCTTCTAGTTTGTTTGTACAGGGGGAGTAAAACCGTCAGTTTTTATTGTAGACATCCGGCTTCTTTCCCGCTAAAGTTTTTTTTGAAATAGTACACGTGTTTAAAGGTGCATTTCTATGAGATCTAAGCCGTGTCTCGTCGTCGTGTAAAAAAAACAAGACTACTTTCGATTTCCTCTGTAAATGGTTTATAGTTTGTGTTGGTGATTGACAGCATGTTAAATTTCCACAGTACAAAAACAGTCAAGACCAGGTTTCGATATCATTATTGTTCGAGAAAGATCTTCCGGATTTTCCAAGCATGGTTTTCCCTTGTCACGGAAGGGATGGGACAAAACACCTAGCTCCCGTGCATAAATTGACAAACCGTTACAGAACACCTGACAGTTGAAAATAAATATATTAGTTGGCCGTAGCACCGTTGTCCGGACAAACGTTTCGCCGTTTCAAAATGCACGAAGTAGCCGTCTTCTATAGAAAGATTCAGATTCGTCCCGAGAACGAGAACGAGAAGGGCGTGAAGTCGTCTCGTTCTCGAAAGACGTGACGACTTTCACGCTTCAGAAAAATCCGCATTTTTGACAACACGCTATGTTCAGTTCATCGTGAATAGAGCAAAAAGTGGACTGTTTGAAAGTGTCGGTTTGTTCTATCATTTTGCTTTTATTCGACCAGTCAAACAGTGTCTAACAAAGGCTGGTATATTTGAAAGAGTTGTGTTTCGGTATAATTATGATAAAGATTGTCGAAAATAGAATTAAATTCAAGGAATTCACTTACGACTACAGAGGGTCCGAGACATTTTCACGCACGAGGTCGTCTGAGGCCGGGGGTTGGATGGTCGAATGGTTAGCACGTGCGCGCTGTATCATAAGGCCTGTCATTGAGTCAACTGGCGTGGTTTCGAATCCCCGGTTGTACGTGACCACTGCTAAAGAACTCTACGAGCAAGCGAATTATTGAAATAAAATTAAACCATATGTTCGTCCCGAAATGACCTAGTCTGTGTCGAGTGGACGTTAAACCCCATCTCTCTCTCTCTCTCTCTCTCTCTCGTCTCTACGGCCGTGGGGGAAAACCCCGAGAACTGATGACGTAGCATGCAAAAAGGGAATCACCTCGTTCTCGTTCTCGATCTCGGAGTGCATCTGAGCCTTTCTATTATTACGATTGATGTATTCCCTTTCATTACATGAGTCAGTCTCCACTATACGACAAACCATAGTCAGGTTCGGAATGTGAACGTCGTGTGCTTTGTGTTACGAGTCTGATGTTTACCTAAATATGCTACATTTCCAAAAGCTCGCTATTTTCATTTGACAAGCAGTGGGTCAATAACCCAATGAAAATAACCGGCCCTGCCATGAACCCTATATCGATGTTGTCTAATTACAGCGGGTGCTGACTTTTGACCATATTCCGAGGATCCCGAATTTTGACAGATTGTCAATTCATCATATCTTAGTAAATACCGAATGGAATTGGGCCATTTTTCAAAGTATATTTCTTTAATAGTAAGTGCAGGGGGACTGCACCACACAAAATTGACACAAAAACAAATACACGGACAAGACATCATACTCAGAAAAACACAGACAAACAATTTTTAAAAAAGTGAATGGATCCGGGGGCTAGCCGTAAGCGTCCACTGTACTTTCCAGGGTCTGTAGTGACACAGACTTCACTTTCATATTCTTCAATCCTTCAAATGGCATTAAGAGACTTTTAAATAAAATTTAAATGGTGTTCACAGACTTAAAAATAAAATTTAAATGGTGTTCACAGACTTTAAAATAGAATGTAAATAACTTTCACAAACCTTAGAATAGAATTTAAATGAGTCCTGACGCTGCATAAATCTGTTCTATTTAGAACTGCGTATTTAGAACTTGTTTACAAATAGTGGCCTTAAACGAAGGTCCTTACTTTTTCTAGATCTTTCAAAAAAAAAAAAATTGAAAAAAAAAAATAATAATTAACATACGATGAATTATGATTTATAAATTTGCATAAAATCTCGGATTTCAATTTTATCAAAAAAGAAAAAAAAAAAAAAAAATAATTAACATACGGTGAATTATGATTTATAAATTTGCATAAAATCTCGGATTTCAATTTTATCCCGAAAAATATATTTCGATTGGCCGATATCTTAAAAACTTGAACATAGAAAATTCAGCAGATTTAATCAACTTTAAAAGTTATAATGACACTTTTTGAGGTGAAATCCACAAAAACATAAACCTGCTGTTATTTATACTTTTATTTATGGAAGCTATCAGGATTGTTCTTGGTTTTAATGTATTTCTTTATATAGGCGCCAGGGTCACCATGGTGGCCAAGTGGGTAAGACGCTGGTTCGCTAGTCTGGAGGTCGGGTTTTTGATCCCTGCAATAGCCGAGGAAGTTCATCCAGATTTTCCAGCGTGGTTCCCCCTGTCAGGGATGCAGGACAGAGGGCGTGCAAGTAAAAGATCCATTGACAGTTGGAATTCGATATAAGAGTAGACCGTAGTGCCGCTCCCCAGGCAAAATTTCCCTCATAGCACACTGTATGGTGTATGCCCGTGTGTTCGAAACAGAACAGTAGGACTTTAAATCCCATTTCATTTCATTTTTATCGGCGCCAGTTTCCCGCAGTTTATTGAATGGGGGGGGGGGGGGTTATAGCGACGCAATTCATTTCAAGCATATAAATTACATATGTATTCTGAACTTTTCACCTCCGCTCATTCAACATGCTTATCGTCGTATTACATACAGGTGTCCTTGGCGGTTGTGATTTTTATAAAACGCTTAAATAACAAGAGAAAGAAATTAATGGGACAACGCGCTTGAATAAAACAGGGAGTACGTGACATCAAATTACTCTTACCGTAATCAAAAATACACTTTTAACAACATAAGGCCAAACCCCTAGGGTCTTGATAAATAGCTATTTGAGTCTCATCTTTTATTTAAATTTTAAACTTAAAATTAAAAGGGGATGGGGTATCATAAGGTCTGTCATTGAGTCAAGTGGCGTGGTTTCGATTTCCCGCATGTACGTAGGGTTGTCTGTCCAACCTCGTGGGTTTTCTCTGGGTCCTCCGGTTTTCTCCCACAGGTATTTACCTGAAAACAAAAAAGTTTAAATTAGTGTGGTCTAAGTCCAATCGGAGATATTGCCACTGAAAGGTATCTCATTTGTATCCATTATTATTGAAGCGATAATCATGTTGTCTCTTTAAAGACATTAAGTCTCTTATCTGCTCTGCTTCAACTCGGGTAAATATTGGTGTTTTTTTATTATTATTATTCTGAAATACGCATATAGCACCATTATCTCTTATATTTAAGTATTGCGAATTATGCGTTTGAAATTTGCGTTCTGTTGCTATCTTTGTAGCCATCAACTAATAACATTTATGTAAATGGCGTTCGTTGTCCTGATGTATATGTATGAAATATTAAATCATGAATGAATGTTATTATTTGATGTCCACAGATATAACAAAAGAACGCAAATTTCAAACACATATTTCTATACTTAAATATATCAGATTCGCCGGTTCTAGCACAGCTCAGATCATACCAAAAGAATGTATCAATCAGAGTAACAGTTTTACCAAGGAGAACTTATTGACTTTTTTCACAGATGTGTTTTTGAATCCTAAAGAAGTTTTATTACAATATAAGTGTCACTTGACGTGATAATAAGACAGTTAAAACAGCAGGGAACGTTTTATCAACACCTCCACAGTTGGTGGTATCGCACCTCAGTTATGCTGCTAGGCTTACAAGTATATACAAATTAATTCAAGAAAAGGTGAATTATGGTCACGTTTTTTTTTATTGACCAGAAAGTTTTCAGTATGAATAATTTTATACCTTTTCTTATATAGACCGATACATTAAAGTAGCCAAGTCTCTAACTCAATATCATCCAAAGTCTTCTACATTAAAAACACGAATTATTTGTCAATTCACATCAACGTTGATGTTGTGATCTTACCGAGAAAAAGATGGGCTTCTATCTAATATTTAAAACAAACTAAACATTTTACCATTCGTGTACCATAATGCGTTTCAGCGCCATTTGTAACAAGGGATTCGAAGAAAGGGGCTAGTTATATTTCAAAAGTCGTATTCTTATCTGGAGAGCGTGCGAAATAAATACTATCGGTGTAGACTTGAAAAACCAGACGCTAGAGATTGTCATTCGATTGAGACTTCCAACGTATTTCGCCGAACATAACTGATTTGAAATTAAAGTAAAAACAGAAACGACTGAATGTAAATCAGTTTATATACATTCATATTACATTATTATATCCGATGCTACCCATTTGTGTCAATTTCTAGGTCCCAAATATTAGCGATTTAACTCCTTTAAATACAATCCATGACCCAATTAACGTTTTAGCAGTTAACATCATTATACCCCAAAATACGGCGCAAGAATGTTTCAGGGGGTTCTAGAAAGAGCTAGAATGTCCTGCCTTGTGCCTGATACCCATCATTATTTATGCCTATATAAATCTATGCTTGAAAGGCAACGATACGACTTTTGGGAAGATATAGGGAGCTGAGCTTGGGCGGTGAGGAATACAACGATAACAACCTGTTTTAAACGATATGTGATTTTATTCTATTATGTAATCAGTTGCGGATTTACCTATTGGCTTGACAAGCTGAAACCTACTTCCTCGATATCTAGGGGTGGTGGTGGGCGGTATTGGGGGTAGTGCTAAATGATAAGGCTAGCTAAATG